ATGAAACATAGATGAATGGGTTGTAGTAAGCAGTTTGACTTGTAGAAGTGGTGGTAAGGTTTTGAACTCATTATAGGCCCAGTATGATACACGATTTATCAGGCTTAATTCTGATAACAATATTAAAATACCAGTTTTAATATGCCTTATCACCATCATCATCAACAGCCTCTAACAGTCCACTGCTGGACATAGGCTTCCCCCTTAGAAAGGAGGTTTTGGCCTACTATGCCACGCTGACCAGACGGGATTGTATCGGTTTTTTTTCAAGTTTTCCCTCTCTTTGCAGTGCTGATGTCGTGCATAGTTTGCTCCCTTAGTCGGCTCTTACGACACACTCCGTATTCTTAATCCGTTACTACACGATTTTCAAAGTTAGACATAAGAGATAATCACGAGAGCAAAGCTGCGGGCAATAGCTCTACTTTTTAATATAAAAACTCGAATTGAGTATAACCATTTCAATTGAATTGACTGCGCAGATGACGTAGTGGTTTAAGCGGTCACCACGCCGCTCACTATTGCGCTGAGTGTTGTGTCCCACACGTCCCACATGGGACGACTCTTTGTGTGATCCACAAATTGTTGTTTTGAGTCTGGGTGTTCTTGTTTTGTTGTGTGTATGTATATTTGTAAAATTCCCCGCGACACAGGAGATATTCCTAATGCGGAGTTGTCTTTAATGTTTTTTTATTACAATGAGTATGATTGAAATCGGTTTAGAAATAGTGTAGATTTTTTTAACAACTGTCATATTGTTGCATACAGAAAAACAATGTTGTCATATATTTAATGATGCTACTCTATCTAGCTGAAATTAAAAGAGACTGGTTGTAAGTCTGTTTGCTCTTTCTTCTCATAAGGCTTCAACCCCTTGGAAACGGAGGGTTGTAGATCGGCACAGGCATGTAATGGATTAATTTCGTTTTGGTAAATATTTGACAGAACAGAATGGTTGCTATTGTGTGTGTTGATCTATAACTTTAGAATCTAAGACGATTACAAATATTTCTCCAAGTATTTTTTTTACATAAAAATATTTTGAGTTTGAGTTTAAGGACAACGCTTTTGGCGGGAATTGGGACTAAAGGAAACATGATCTCAAATTCGTCACCCAAACAAAAACCATCAACAAAAGTATGAAATTAATGTTTATTTTTAATATATCATAATAACAAGTTTTTACTAAAGCGATGAATATTTACACGGTTATTATTCCACTAAACAAGTCTTATTTTTTTGTGTCTGTTTGCGTCGATTAATCTCCGTAACGAGTGGACCAATGTCCACAGGAATTTTACTTACAGATAGTTGATTTTCTAAGAAGTTATTAAAGCTGCTTTTATTTTGATAAAATAAATAGGTATTTTTATTTATTTTATTTTATTTGGAAAACAAATAGTATTAAAAACTAATGGTAAGAGCAAATAATGTAGTTAAAAACCAGTTATATATTTTCACATTTAAATAACTATTAAGACCTTGTTTATTAAAAAACAAAAAATTAAAGAAAAAAAATCATCTACGACAATTGCAATATTACCTCACACAATAAAATGCTATCAAGTATAATTTAAGCAGTTACTGAACCATTATTTAGGTACCGTATTTAGGTACTATCTAGATTTCTGTATAAGTTTTCTGTATATTATGTGATGGATATAAGAGTAAAGGACCACCAAAGAAAAATGGAAGGACTGCCTAAAAGAGAGTTAAGATTGAATCGGTGAAACTTATTGCGCCGACCCCAAATATTTTGTTTGGCAAATTGGTAAAATGATGATGATTTTAGATTCTTTTTTTTAAATACAACTCTCGCATAGGAATGTATCCTGTGTCGCGCGGGACTTTACAAACATATATGCAACAGACACAAAGAACACCCAGACTCAGAACAACAATTTGTGGATCACACAAAGTGTCGTTCCGTGTGGGGATCGAACATACTCGTACAACCCTCAGCGTAGTAGGAAGTCGCGTGGCGATCCCTTAAACCACTACGGCATCTGTGCAGTCATCCGACATCATGACTTTTAAAACAGAAAAGTCAACTAAAAGCTTCCCATTTGTCTCCTTTTTAACCAACTTCAAAAAATGGAGGAAGTTCATACATTGGATTTTTTCTTTCGTTACCTCAGCACTGTTTTTTACACAGTATTTTTTTTAAAGTATAATGTAACTCGTAATCTATCACAGAATCACAATAATATTATTTAACTTTTGACATCTCACACACAGACCTCTGATTCCAAATTATAAACATACCTATATATTTCTAACTACATACATACTATAGATAGTTCACATCCAGACATAGAGCAAATGATCGTACTTATCACAAAATTATTTGTCCTGGATGGAAATCGAACTCACGACCTCTGGCCTGGCAGCCAATGGGCCAATCACAATACTATTAATTTATAAATCCTTTTAAAAAAAGTTGAACCGACTTCAAACAATACTAACAAAGAGCACTAAAACCTCGCAGCTATCGAGGTTCATTTGCTGTTATTAAGAGTTCCGTTGTCTGTCTCCGAAACTCGTAATCAGATCTATATAAATTTAAATGAGACCATTTTGGAATGAACCCCTTTAAAACAAAAAAATAATTTTGCAAATCCATCTATAAATGACGAAGTTATGCCCGAACAGACATAAAAAATATAAACAACCGAATTGATTACCTCCTCCTTTTTGAAGTCGGTTTTTAAACAGCGAAAACTTTCCTTCCGATAAAATCCAAAACCATTTCTTTGTCAACTAACCTTTTCAAGAGCATTATAAATAAAAAAGGATCTTTAGAAAGAAGCACGAACATTATAAAAGCCTTAGACGATATTAAATTGAAGGAAAGTTACAAAGCTATTTAACGGGACCCTACACCTTAACGGATTCATTTCATGGGAACATCTCGTAATTGCCTATGGTTGGCCATAGGCGGTTCCTGAAAGGTTTTAAGGGTGTAATGTCATTATCACCATGCTTAATGAAAGGGTCTCTTTTTGCTTCGGTGTTTGTGTAAATGTGGTTATGATAAGCGTTAAAATAATTAAGCGATATTTTAAAATGTTGTGCTTCAGTGCAAGCTACGAGTATTTGCGACTTGGAATAATTTTAATTACATTAAAATGATCTTTTTTAATAGTGATACTAAAATTAAAAACAGATGGAGAAAGTCCATGAATATCTTTGATATAATTTTCAGAACATTCTACACGTGACTATTATAAAATAAAAAAAATTGAGTGTGTTAAATAGTGTGCACAATATTTGCAGTTCATGCGTTTTTACGTGCGTAACTAGGTATTGAATAACTCACTTCCTATTCAAGAAATTGTAATTTTTGTGACCATTATTCTTAATAATTGTTGTAGATAAAATAAAATAATTTTACGAAATTTTCTAAAGAACGCAAATGTTACGATCCCGGAAAAGAATAATTCAAGATGAAAATTAATTAATTAATTTAGCTGCGACTCGCCAAGTGGCACTCTTGGTGTTTTCTTGGGTAATTTTGATTTAAAGGAGATCTATGTTGAGTGGTCCTTATTTCGAACGCTACTTTATACCTATATCTATATTGTCTTTATTGGCTAATAAGCGCATAATGTTGATTCTTTTTATTGAGTCCTTCGAGTCTTAAGAGTATTAATGGTAACACTAAGTGAATGCTTGAACACTAGATAACACTTTCCTGTTTAAATATGGGAGGTCCATGCATCGGCACAAATCGACGACTCAAAGCGACACTCGCAGCGAATATTGAGTTTCAAGTGTTCATGACTTACCATCAGGTGACCCGTCTGTTCATTTGTTTAAAAAACATTATTAATATGTATATGTACGTATGTATGTGTATGTATATCCCGCTGTGTGCATTCAAAGTTCAAAATAGTTGGTATTTAATAAAACCTCAATCATTTATTACGTTCCCATAAGTGCACCTACCTCATTCTTTCTCTGCATCGCTCAATCGGTCGACTGGCAAATAATGCCTTAGGCATTAGGTCCGCCGATGCATATATTTGTGCAAAAAGTTATAAAATAAAAAATAAAAAAAACAAAAGAAGATAGTCATTGTTGTACAAAAAGTTTTATTGACGGATTTAGAAGCGGATGGAAGGACATTCTATTAACATCCCCAAAATTATATATAGTTTCATTCAAATCAGCTTTCTCTTTCTTACGGAATTATAAGTTTCATCGCTCTATATTCCAGTTCTATTGGTCAGTTTTACTTACGATTATTGATTTACGTGATTCCGATACGATCCTAAAATAAAATAGTTCAGATAATTTTACGAACCAATAACTTCTACAAGTGACTAAGTTGCGCATACATTTTGGAGGAATACAGGTATTCAATGGCAGATTTTTAAATGACTTACTAATTCACAAAATAGTTGATTTCTTTACCACTAGTTTCTTTACCAACATCTGTTTTTTATTACCGAATTAAATGGCCATAATCAACCATTAAATAATATTTATAGCCATAAACAGAATTTCAAAATGGAGGCATATTTAAATTTTAATTTGAAGCTTAAACGCGCTCTCGTGAATTATGGATGAGAAAAATAGGTTTTTTATTTGTTATGCGTTCTTTTATGATATGATAATAGGCGAACGTTGAAGCTTTTCCTTAAATAATTCGTTTTTTATATTTGATTTTTTAATTTTATTGTGGGTTGGTGTTAAAATAAAACAAAGGCCTTTGTGGAAGGCACGAACGGAGGAGTATTTATCTGTGCGATTTTCTATATGACGAATTCGGCACTGAAAATGTTTCTTAAATATTATCGTTTTTATCTTATTGGTCGAGCGCAGTTTTGATTTAGACATCCACGCCTAGATGCATGGTATTCTCAGCTTGGACGTCCAAAGGGGGAATCTCCAACGCTAGCTTAGCTGGTACCTCCCTACATTTGCTCTCTACAGAAATCAAACTTAGGACCTCACGCGTGGACGGATAGTTATTAAAAGATAATTTTCAATTTCAGACCTTCCAGAGCACTGTCTTCCCCTGGATAGCCACCATCTTCATTAAGAACAGCACAGAAAACTCTCAGTTCCACTACTTCTGCGATGGTGCTCTGTTGTCGGAGAAGGTCATTCTTACTGGTAGGTACTACTAATATAACTTTGAAACTATAAATACATCTTTTTTTCTACTCTCACTCATTCGCTTAACTCACTCAGTGAAAAGTAAAGAGAGAATAGCTAAATACCAGGTTTTCTGAGACCGTGGTATAACTCTGATTGAGCTTGCCAATATTATGTGCAGAAGGATGGATCTCGAACGATGATAATAACCACACACGGCCGCCTGATCCCAACCTATGCAGAGCTTGTGCTACGGTAGCCAGACTGCTGATAAACACACTCATATATTTCTAAATACATAGACATTATAGATAAATTAGAATCACAACAATGTGTCCTAGGTGGGAATCGAACCCAAGACCCCTGGTTTACCAGTCACGTTCACTAACCATTAGTCTGGACAATAATTAAATGTTACCTTATGAATATAGTCATTCACAATCCAATCCGGACTCATTCCTTTCGAGTGTATTTATGGGTCAGTATTCATTTACTTTTGAGAAGGAGATAATAATAATAATATATCGTTTATTTTCTCACCAAAACCAAAATGCATACAATGACAATACGATTACGCTAGAAGAGGTACTACGAGTAAAGAATTTAGATCAATATATAAATATAAAGAAACCTTTGACAGTTAATGGAATGAAAGAAGAATCTCTTCAGATATTTTTGCTTCAATTGTTTTATGAAAATATAACGTTTTATAGTCTTGCTGATTGTCCGTGTGGTGACGGATTACGAATACTGAGTGTCACTATCCGTATTCATCTCGTTGGTGTCATAAGAGCCGACTCAGAGAGCAAACTACGCAGAACCACAGCACTGCAAAGAGAAGAAAAATTTGAAACAAACCCTATACCAACCCGTCTGGCCAGCGTGGTATTGTAGGCCAAAACTTCCTTTCTGAGGAGAGCCCTACGTCCAGCAGTGGAATATTAGAGGCTGTTGATGTGATAGCTTTGATATCGGCATTAGTTTTAGCTGAAAGAAACCAATCATACTTTGGCACGTGTGGACCGTCTTGAACGGAGTTATACCACGGCCTCGAGAAAACTGGTGTTAGGCAGTTCTTTCGTTACTTTTCAACGAGTGAGTGAAGCTACAGAAGCCTAAAACTTGCTTCCACCTGATTCTGGAAGGAGGGACCCAAAGGGTTGCGACCCACCTGTGACTCTTGAGTGGCAGGTGTCCATCAGGTGACTCGTCTGCTCGTTTGCCCCCTTGTACCATAAAAAAGCTTGGTTTCTTGCGTGGGTCTTGTAGACTAGTACTCGTATCACAAAACGAGGTAGGATTTTGTAATATTTTACAAGGAAATTGTTTTACGTTTAAAAAAAAGGTAAGTATTGACTGGACAGTCAAATAATGTATTTAAAAGAACTTTTTATTATTAATCAAAAACATAACATGAGGTTAATTGAAATGTATCTAACGTATACAGCAATAACAAAACGGCCGACATTTTTCTTTTATTTACTTCGCATTTTCTCCAGATTGATCTTTGAACAAAACAACTTCACCGCAAAATAATAAAGGCACACAAACAAAACAATATCCTACCATTGTTTTTAAAACAACAAAAACAAAACAAGGAAAGGTGTAGCTGAAACAATCGGCACTCACCTTCGGCGGGAATTCTTTTATAACATCTTATACTTCTAAAATAAGAACGACATCTGTTAAGGTTCCGTATTTAGAAATCTCTTGATGAAAATATGAATAAAGATATCTGTGAACCAGATTGTGATAAAATAACAACTTGACACATCTCTCCCATGGGTATGACCCCAAACTGGGTAGAACCTGTGCTATTGTAACCAGACTGCTGATAAACATACTTATATATTACTACGTAAATATGAGTCATGAGCCTATCGCCGTCTACTGCTCTAAAGAACGATCCCGGTCTTGGGCAGTCCGCATCCATCCGCTGTCAGTTCTTCAAATCGGTGGTCCATCATGCTGTTGGGCGCCCTGCACTACGTTTGCCTAGCACATTTCGGGTTCAGCGTCCATCAGTCCGCCTGGACACCAAGACTAAGGAGAACTCTTTCTCGATTACGCAAATGTTTGTCCCGTGTGGGAACACTTGGCACAGCTTAGTGGCAATGAATTTAATCATTACGTCATTCTTGTAGCCTATCAAAGCCACTGACAGAGAGGCTTGTGTTAACAATCGAAATTATCATACACTAGTTGCGCCCAGCGGTGTTATACGCGGTTTATTAGATACACTAGAACGTGTATTATTACTGTTTTTCGGGATAAAGCAGCCTTTCTCTAATGACTAGCTCACTGTCTCCGATCACGGCCCTCAGGCGCAGCACAGCGCCGACCGTCGAACGCCCCGAAACAATTTACCCTCCTCGTCTAGAAACACGATGGGCCTGTAGACCGCGATCAAATCGGCAGGCAGCAGTCTTCCTCAATAGGACCAGTTTCCCGCTCTTCCAGCACTCAGGGAATCGTCCTGACGTCCGGCTGGCGTCGAACACCTTCCTGATGCGGTCTGCCATGTGGTTAAGGACTAGAGCTAGCACTCGGCCCGGTATCCCGTCTGGCCCAGGAGCGGGGAATAAAGTGTCAGCTACCTCCATACCAAATTGCGACAAAATTGGTCCAGCCATTTGAGAGTGAAGAAGTAACAAACATACACAGTTATAAACTTTAACAATTGTGTGATTTACGATTTAAATACTAGTCACTGACCTGCAGTTTTATAGTAACACAGTTAAGAGTAAAATAAAACTCTCACTTTATGAGTGTTTCTGTGAACGTTTGAAGTCGACAGTAACTTTTCGTTCTGAAGGATTTGAATACTGCTAACGAACACTGAATTCATTTAACATCATCACCTACAGTTTACGAAATGAAAGAAAAATGGATTTACATTTATATTCACTTTAAAATTTTATATGTGTCACTGTACTTATGTACATCATTTTTTATCGTACTGCAATGGTATTCATTGAATGAAATTTTTGTAAGGGATATTCGTATTAATTTAATGTTAATACGGTATTTTCAATCTTTCTTTTTTATCTTTTTCATTGTCTTCTTAAAAGGAGGAGGTTCTCAATTTCCTGGTATTTTTATTAAACCAGAACTACATCATTTATGATCCGATGTTATAATCTATTTTTTTATTTGAGAGTTGAAGGTGAACAGGAAAAGCTTATAACAATTCATCATGATGTTAAATATTAAAATGAGAACTCCATCAAGAGTAATTCTTGCAATATGAGGGACTTAAGCAACATTCAAACTCGAGATAAATATTTGTGGATCGCACCATTTCTGTCCTGTGTGGGATTAGAATCCGCCAAATTATGCTCGGCATAAGGACAAGGTAGCCATATAAATCATTGCATCATCTAAGCAGTCAAAAATTTACTATCCAGTCAAATCAATTCCTCCTCATTGAACGTCAAAACTCAATATACTTACTTTATCGTATTTGATTGAAGCAAAACAATGGCGAGCTTTACCTCTCTTATTGAACCTTATAGCGACATCTATAATCCATTCGATAAAAACTTTAACAAAAGACTCCGCAATTCCTACAATGTTGTCACTTAGCGTTTTATCGTTTTTTATTTCCCGCCTTTGGAGAGGGGACTAATTTCATTATGGCGACCTACCTCCTATGCTGAGTTCGCTTAATGATATTTCCACAATCTTTTGTTGAATTCGTTAGAGGAGTTCTTTTATTGTACGTAATCAGGAATATCTAAGTCTTAGTCTTCAGTTGGTTTTATTTTGACTAAGACGTTTTGTTATTCTTCGCACGACTAGAGGCGAAAATGAAATTGAATTTAAGATTTGAATTAGGAATTCACCATTACGACACTTTCTTTTATGTATTATTTCAATGATGGCGTTCTGCAAAAAGTGTGTGGCTACATAAATGTATAAGTGGATTATCGGATATTATGCCTTTTGAACAGAAATAGAGACGTGATCGTGCCTGGCGGGTCGTGGTTCAACGGTTGATGTTAGGAAGTCGTATATTACTAATATATCCGTGTGGTGACGGATTAAAAATACTGAGTGTCAGCACCCCTATTCATCCCGAGGGTGTCGTAAGAGCCGACTAAGGGAGAAAACTACGCAGAACAACAGCACTGCAGAGAGAAGGGAAACTTGACACAAACCCTATACCAACCCGTCTGGCCAGCGTGGTATAGTAGACAAAAACCTTCTTTCTAAGGAGAGGCCTATCTCCAGTAGTGGAATAGTAAAGGCTGTTGATGATATTACTAATCGGTGCAAGAACCTTCATTATACGATACTGGATTTGTAGTTACAATATATGTTTTCGTCAAAAAACTTTTCAGTATGTTTCGCTATACATATTTTTGTACTAGGTGTCTCTGTGCTATTTATCTATAGTGGAGAATAACTTGAAAGAAAACAAAAATTGAATGCTGTATTAATAGTTACATATATTTGAAAGTAATGTACTTGACTGCACGGATGGCGTAGTAGTTTAAGCGGTCGCCACGCCGCTTCCTACTACGCCGAGTGTTGTGGGTTCAAACCCCACATGGGACGACACTTTGTGTGATCCATAAATTGTTGTTCTGAGTCTGGGTGTTCTTTGTGTCCGTTTCATGTATGTTTGTAAAGTCCCCCGCGACACAGGATTTATTCCTAATGCGGGAGTTGTCTTTTTTAAAAGAAAAGAAAAGAAAAGAATGTACTTAATGGAAATTCTTAAACTCTATAACGTAATACAGTAACGACCCTAGATGGTGCTGATGATGTAAAACTGTTTTACAGGAGGAAGATGCGTTCACCATTCTACTGGCGTTGTGGCGGCAGAAGATATTCTCGTCTTCCTTGGCAAGACAAACTTACAAGCAATGGATGGCAGTGAAAAATTATACAGGGTAAGATTCTTTACAATCGTCCAGGCAAAAATATCCCGGAAAGAATTCTCATAGATATATTACGGGCAGTACATTTTTTGTTTCACGAGCAGTAGACCTGAAGGCCAATTCTAGTAATCAAACTTCGGTCACAATTCAGTTTTGATAGACTTTCGATCTCACAACTACTACTAAAATAGTAAAGTATTACTAAGACTAGCAATTTACCGATTCAATTTTTGGTTATAATACGATATTATCACATTACAGTCTACGTTGAATGTTGAATGTTTACTACGAAAATACCTTTTATGACAGTTGTGAGATCAAAAGTTGATCGGAACTGAATCGAGACCGAACTTTGAGCATGAGAGCTCGCCTTCTGTAGTCTTCACGGTCGTTATTAAATGTCTAAAATAATAATAATAACTTGATATCTCTCACAAAAACTACGCTGGACAACAGCACTGCAAGGAGAAGGAAAACTTGAAACAAACCCAACACCAACCCTTTTGACCACCATTAGGCCAAAAGCTCCTTTCTAAGGAGAAGTCTATGTCCAGCAGTAGACTACTAAAGGCCCTTTATGATGATGATGACGATCTTAGACACGACCGTCTGGTCCCAAACTAGGCAGAGCCTGTACTATGGTAACCAGACTGCTGAGAAACATACTTAATATTTGTAAATACAAACATAATCATAGATAAATTATATTCAAATACAGAACAAATAAATGATCATGCTCATCCCACAATTCTTTGTCCTGAGTGGGATTGAAACTCACTACCTCTGGCTTGGCAGTCAAAATTACTAACCATTAGACATCCATGCCAGTCAAAATAGTGTGATAAAAAATAACAGTAACATAGGGCAAAAAGGGTTTTTATTTTTCTTTCACTTTTCTTTCTTTTCAGAACAAAAAATATTTCAATTAAATAAAACTTTTGTCCGTGTGGTGACGGATTAAGAATACAAATTGTCACCACCCCAATTCATCCCGTAGGTGTCGTAAGAGCCGACTAAGGGAGCAAACTAAGCAGGATAACAGCACTGCAAAGAGAAGGAAAACTTGAAACAAACCCTTTTTTTTTTTTTTTTTTTTTTTTTTTTACGTGTGGAAATCCCCTCGGACCGTCACCCCTCCGGGGTTTGCGGCGGGGTGGTGTGTCGGACTCGGACCGACTAAAACCACACGGTGTGCCACTCTGCGCCTGTAACAGGAGGGATCCGGGAACAGCTGTTGTTAAGACATCCGGACCCCTCCTAGCGCCAGCCCGCTCCTGGTGCGGGCTCCGTCTCAGTGTTTTTTTTTTTCCTCTCTTTATAGGCGACGTCCGGCACACGCGGACGCCGCCCCCTCGCGGCTGGCCAACTAATGCGGGTGGAGGGGAAACCCACCCCTACGGACTAAGGGAGCAAACTAAGTAGGACAACAGCACTGCAAAGAGAAGGAATACTTGAAACAAACCCTATACCAACCCGTCTGGCCAGCGTATTATAGTAGGCCAAAACCTCCTTTGTAAGGAGAGGCCAATGTCCAGCAGTGGACTAATATAGACTGTTGATGATGATGAAAACTTTTAATTTAGATTAGTTTCATTTTTTTTGTTTTATTATTATTCAGACTGCCTTAGTGGTAGCCTATGCGATTGGTGGTGCTGAGGTCGCGGGTTCGAATCCCGACCAAATGTTTTTATGATCTGCAAGTATTTGTTTCGGAGTTTGAGTGTTTTCTATGTATATTTTGTAGGTATTTACAAAAAAATATTTAAGTATTCTATCAGTCAATCTAGCTTTCATAGTCCAACTCTGCTGAGTTTAAAACTAGATGGCGTTGTGTGTCAGATTTTTTAAAATATTATTATTTTATAAATAAAGAATACTATGAACATGGGTATTACTAGTTAGTATACTTGTAACTCCTCCAGCAAAAGTAAATGCTTGTGTTAGGAGTGGGGTAACGTCGGTAGTGCTGCTTGCCTTTTAGTGGCCTTAGAGTAGCCACACTGTGGAGTTAGAACCCGTTGCGAAGGGTGGAACTTATGCTCTCGCCAATTGCTATCCCATAGGGTGTTATATTTTTTTTAGCAAGAGGAATTTCTAAATTTATATTAAGAATTTATCTCCAGGTAAAAAATGTATTCCTGCACAATAACTTCACCCTGGATCTCGAAAGAAGGGCACAGAATGATTTGGCCATCCTTATTTTGGATGTAGCTGCTGAATTCGATGATAGAATACAAAGTTCTTGCATACACCTTGAAGAGGCCACTGAAGTCCAGGAAGCTGCGGTAAGTATCAATTATTTAAAAGGTCTCTTAAGTAATACCAGTGTGAATCGAACTTTAACGGTGGCTGATACATTCAAATTTGTTCTGGCATTCCGTCCTGTATGGCTCTGAAAGTTGGCCCATTAAGAGAACGGGTGAGAGACGCCTGAACGTAGCCGAAATGCAAATGCTGAGATGGATGTGTGGTGTGACTCAGATGGACAAGGTTAGGAATGAGTATATACGAGGGAGTCTGAAAGTAGCACCACTGGATGAAAAGTTAAGAAGTAATAGGTTATCTTGGTATGGACATGTCATGCGGAGGGATGAGGAAAATGTTGCGAAGAAAGTTTTAGGTATGAGAGTTGAAGGGTACAAGAGAAGAGGCAGACCGAAGAAGAGGTGGATGGACTGCGTCAGGGAGGATATGGCTAGGAAGGGAGTAAACAGTGAGACGACGCATGACAGAGTAGAATGGAAAAATCATACATACTGCGCCGACCCCAAATAAAATTGGGAAAAGGGTAGGCAGATGATTTAAAAGTTATAATACTGATCTACATATACACGAAGAAACTTTTTTGTACTCCTTTTCAAAGAAATGTATGGCAAGGGAAGATATAACATCGATAACTCTTAATTATTGTATGTAGAAGAAGTATAGAAAACTAAATTTTTTAAGCAAAACATGCCATAAAGTCAAACATTTTGTAAAAACATCTATATCAAACTAAATATTTGCGTCTAATATAAATTTTGTTCTGTCTTTTACAAAAATCTATATAGGTAATCAGAGTTCAAGTTATACTGGTTGTACAGACTGTTATCCGACTAATAGATTTAAAATAAAAAGCAGCGATGTGGTAAAACTTGTAATGGATGAATAGTACAGATTGAAGTTCACAATGGTAATGTATCGACATCTATGTAATGTATACACATAAGCGTAACCCCAAAAAAAAAATAGACGCGAACTGCGTAGGCGCTTCAACACTGGTTATAGAAAGAGATATTGAAAACCGGCGAAATTTACCAGTACATATACATATACTCTGTAATTCTAAGTGGTAAAGGAGAGAAGGGATAGCTCATTAATAACCTTTTAACTTATTGATAATCACGATATATTATATTCACCAAATACTAAATGTCCTTCACAGACAACCGCTTGGGGACCCAACGGACAATTATTGCCGATATTCTTTGAGGAAGAGAAGAGTGATATTTGTTTCGATAAGGGCGAAGATATATTTTGTGCTACGTATGGTCAAAGTAAGTATAATTTATACAGGGTGGTTTAAATACCCATTGACTTGCTACCGATATGAAGGATTTGGTTTCAATAAGTTTACCCTGAGTTCGATAAATATTTACGGTAGTGATGCTAGATGGAAAAACTGTGTTTTTCGTGATGTGACGGATTAAGAATACCGAGTGTCATCACCCCTATTGATCTTTACTCCCAAATCCTATTGACTAAGCGACCAAACTACGTAGGATAACAGTAATGCAAAGAGATGGAAATCTGAAACAAACCCTGTATCAACCAGTCAGCGTGGTATAGTAAGCCGAAACCTCCTTTCTGAGGAGAGGTCCATATCGAGTAGTGGACTATAGGCTGTTGACCACGAAATAGATTTTATACGTCTTTCCGAACTACTCGTATTTGTTTAAGATTAGAGACTTATTGATTTTTTGAATTCACAAACAAGTCTTACAGTAAATTATAAAGGCTATGTATAGATAGTAGATTTTGCTCAATTCTCTATTTTTATAAAAGTAAGTTGTCAAATAAGCACATGGCAAGATTGAGTGGTTACCTGTATTTATAAATACTTTTAAATAAAAGTGATCATATACGTGTTTGCCATGATGCTTACGTGTTTGATGATAGCTAGTTTCCTAATCTCTTATGAAGCATCTTTTCTATTGACTAATTCCCTAGACGCCTTGTATAATTTCTTGTTCTAATGGATAAATATTATCTTGTTTACAGATATACCCCTCTGTCCGAGCTACGGTGGTATTTACGCCACCAAGCGCATGTCAAGATGGTGTATCCAAGGTATATTCTATGGGGACCCTACAAAGAATGGGCTGTGCTTTAATAAAAATGTCTTATTCACATCGTTACGTAATTACTTCGACTGGATTGATGATTACATTGTAATTAATGCTAATATACTATAATTTTATGACACGTTAATTGTTGTTTTATTTACGTATAATACGATCGAGATAATGATTAGTATGTCTAGGGTTAATTTTAATAGACTTAAACCCATTGAACGTTACTATTTTAAAAGATTCAGCTTTTATTTCTTGACTATTTTCGTTGATTCACATTTGTTAATATAAGTGGTTGAGATCCCCTTGATCTTTAGAGTTCCCCGGCAACTGTTAGTTCGAGTTACAGGTATGCGACCGTTACATTCTACATTCCCTATCCATTACGTAGATGGCGAGCAACATTCCTTTCTTGCCATTGCCTTCACATCTTACTAACTTTCCATTTCATACCCTTAGAACTAACAATTTTCCAATTCCTAAAGTGCATTGTGTCTCTATTACGTAAGTAAAATTTAATTATAGTTCGCCAAATGTGGTAAACACGCCATCTAGTTTCAAACTAAGCAGAGCTTCTACTATGAAACCTTGATGGATTGATCATCAATCATCAACAGCCTTTACTAGTCCACTGCTGGACATAGGCCTCGCCTTAGAAAGGAGGTTTTGGCCAATATACCACGCTGGCCAGACGGGTTGGTCTAGGGTTTGTTTCAAGTTTTCCTTCCCTTTTGCAGTGCTCTTACGATAACCACGGGATGAATACGGGTGGTTACACTCTGTATTCTTAGTCCGTTACCACACGGAGTTGGGGTTGGGTTGATTGATAGAATACTTAATTTACTTTTTTTTTGTAAAAACATAAATATTATACATAGAAAACACCCAAATCCCGAAACATATTTTTGCAGATCATATAAACATTTGGTCCGACCCAGGAATCGAACCCGAGACCTTAGCACAGCAGTCGCATACCGCTGCCACTGCACCACCGAGGCAATAATATGTTCCGATACACAAATAAAACAATTCTTATTTATTATTAGAAGAACATTAATAAAGTAACCATCTATTTTAATGCCAGTTAATGTAAAATTAAATTACCGTAAGCTATTTTAAATTATGGCCGTTACACAACTTTCGACGTTTGGAATTCAGCCAGAAGTTAATGACAGATGAACGATATCTCGCAATGTGTATTGCATCAGTAAATTCAGCCAAATTTGGCTACTGTATTCGGAAATATTTCCACAAACGTTAAGAGCTGCCATCCTGAGTTTGTAATTTTTAACGTGGTGAGAACTTGAGACCAGGATAAGTATTGTGTGATGAGCACGGTCATTTGTTCTGTGTCTGGGTGCCATTTATCTATAATATGTATGTATTTAAAAATATATAAGTATGTTTATCAGCGGTCTGGTTACCATAGTACAGGCTCTGCCTAGTTTAGGATCAGACGGCCGTGTGTGAGATGTGTGAAGTTATTATTATAGTTAATATTTTCTTTTGGCAACTGTATAAGATGTGTAGTGTAAAAACAATTGAGCCAAATTTTTGAATTTTATTGAGTACCAGCTGGTACCTGTGACTTCGTTCGCGTTTAATTTGAATTGAAAATGTTAGCGTGCCTTAGTGGTGTGCAGTTCATGAGGCCTCGGGTTCGATTCCCGGACCGGACAAAATTATATATAGTTTTTTTGGGAGGAAAAATAGCCTAAGTTACTCGTTATATCGGCAAACTACCTAGTAGTAAAATATTATTAAAATCGGTCCAGCTGTTTTCAAGATTACCCGGAACAAACAGACCGATAGACAAAAATATTTAAACTGGTTTTTAGGCATAGGTATTGTGCAAATATTGTACAATCCGTGTGGTGACGGATTAAGAATACGGAATGTCGCCACCCCTATTCATCCCGTGGGTGTCGTAGGAGCCGACTAAGGGAATAAACTACGCAGGATAACAGCACTGCAAAGAGAAGGAAAACTTGACACAAACCCCATACCAACCCGTCTGGCCAGCGTGGTATAGTAAGTCAAAACCTCCTTTCTAAGGAGAGGGCTATGTCCAGCAGTGGACTATTAAAGGCTGTTGATGTAATGATGATGTGATTGTGCAAATAAACGTTTGAGCATCAAAAATATCTTTTATTTTGATATTACAAATAGACACTTCCATTTTTTTTATGTGTATAGAAGATGCCAAAACATGTTTTAACGTACTTTGTGTTATTATTTCCTATATTGATTTGAGAGTAAATCCTTTTAACAATCTTGGTAGGCAGTTGAATGCTTCATACGAATGACACATAATCAGTTTATAATGATTGACGACCGAATGGCGTAGTGGTTTGTATAACGGGCTGCTATTCCAAAGGTCGCGGGTTCGATTCCCGCTCAAGTCAATCATTTGTGTGCATGAACATTTAATGTTTGATTTGGTCTGGGTGTTTCTATGTATAATATGTATGTATTTACAAAAAAAAGTATAAATGTATTTATATCAGTTGTCTAGTACCCATAGTACAAGCTCTGCTTAGTTTGGGACTAGATGGCGTTGTGTGAATGTGGTAAAAAAAAAACAAAAAGACCAGAAGAAAAGCACATGACAGAATATAACTGAATGTGCATTGCTCTTGTTCTCAGATTATTCGTTAATTTGTGTGAATGTATAATTGTATGTATGCTCCCCAACCAGGGTTACGGAGGCAGTTGGGGATTGGGCTTCCACTCACTCAGTGAAAAGGTACAAAATAATAGCTTAACACCGGTTTTCTGAAAGCCCAGTTGAGGCGGAACTTGTGTGTCGAAACATGACCCCCACACGGTTAATCTAGAGAATACTGCTGGCCATTCAGTGCTCTCCCCGAATTAGGGTAACCTCCGGTAACCACACTCAGTGAAAAACAGAGAAGAAAGAATCGCCGAACACCGTTTTCCATGAGGCCATTGGATCACTCCGGTCGAGCAGACTCATATATGACAAAGATGGCTGTTCCACGTTTATATTACATATGCGACATTAACACAAGTTATCATGATACATGACACATCATTGGGTCATTAAAACTATCCATAGTGGGTCCGTTGTTGGTTTAGGTCCGATGCAATAACAGTCGATCATAATTCATTCTAAATCTGGATTATTGACCGCATCCGTGATACAATAAGTGTTCGCCAAATAAATACTTCCCTTCTTTGTTGTACAGCTTATGTGTCACTCTCATTATTATCACTAACGACATTAAAACGAAGCTTTGTTTATGTACCCATATTTGATACGAGCATAGCAATGCCGCTTTAGATTTTCGTTCAAGAAAAGAGCTTACTGAAGCTCTTTGAAATCCAAGGTCTTTAAGCAGGTTATAGAGGGATTTAGCTGGTATACCATCTGGTATGACATAACCATCGGAACGGATCTATTTTTATGGTATAGGGAGGCAAAAAAGCGTACGGGCCACCTACTATGAAAATATGCAACTCAAAAGTCATAAATGCGTTAACGCCCTATAATAATATTAATATTTTTGGACATCTAACACACAACGCCATCTAGTTTCAAACTAAGTAGAGCTTGTACTATTAAAGCTAGACTACTGACATATGTATTATACATAGAAAACACCTCAACTTGCCACCACAACCTAAACCATATATTTGGAGATCATACAAACATTTGGTCTAAGTAAGTCCCCAAGTCTTCCCCCACTCCAGAATCACGAGGATCGGCTTGGGCACCGGTAACCTCACTCACTTGGTAAAAAACCTCGAAGGTATTCTTTAACACCGATTTTAGTCCCATTAGTGACAAAGCAGGGCTTTTGTTACGGTACTCATCTACGGACTGGGATGTACTTTGTACAAACGATAGATGTAACTAACATTATTACATTTTACGACGACCCATAACTAAGCCTTAGAGGAGCCTTCCTTATGAATATTTATGTTAGGACTCTAAGCCATGGTGAGTCATTGAAAGAAAAATCTTTAATGCACACAACAGCCTGTACGATCACTCGCTTTAAACAAGAATTGGTTTTTAGCTTACCTACCCCCGAGGTACCAATTCGCATTACTAAGTTTCCACTATCTCTGCTTTTTAGTCTGTGGGAGATCTCTATCTCATGTACCGTAATAGGTAGAGTATTAAATTTTTCTACTATGATACGGCACCCTTCTAATGTAATGCAATTTCAAAGTCGGTTTTTTATAATCATTTATATAAGTCGAAACGTCATTAATTCAACATGTTGTACAGATTACAAATGCCTTTATATATTAACATTACAAATTTGTATCTTACTTCGCGTGGTAAATAAAACAATTCAATCATAGGAAGTGTTGTTAGCTGGTAAATGCTTTTACGCGTACAGTTTTAAATAGGAGATAATGAATAGTACTACAATATTCCAAGTTTCTCGAATATATTTGTGTGTGCTTAAATTTGTTTTTCCTAGATAATTAATTTTGATTTTGTTAGTGGTAAATAATATCTCTTTTTTAATAATGTTTTGGATATCAGACACACAAAGTCATCTAGTTTCAAACTAAGCAGAGCTTGTACTATGAAAGCTAGATTGATTTTTGCTACTACATACAAATTATACATAGAAAAACCCAAACTCCGAAACAAATATTTGCAGATCATAGAAACATTTGGTTCGACCCGTGAATCGAACTTCTAAGAAGAGCACAGCAGTCGAATACGCTACCCCTACATTACCGCGGCAGCTATGATCATGTATCTGAATTAACTGTATGTTAACAGTTAACAGTGTCATAGCTTGCCTTGCCTTTCTTATTAACAATTAGTAGGTTTTTAATAGGTATGAACTGCAATGTTAAATTGGCGCCAAAATCATTATTGCATTCAAAAAGAAAAAAGATTTCTGCTGTCCGCTTTTCATGATCCGACACTGTAACCTCGTCCAATTCATTAAACTCGCCAAAACGAATCAAACTCGAAAGATTAACTAGTAGCCGCTGAAGAGTTCCATTTTCCAACTCCTACCTACCCTACCCTAAAAAAAGTTATATATTACCTAGTACATATATTTTAGAAACAGGTAAATATATCCGAAAATACCCGGCACTGGGTAAACGGGAAGATAAAAGAAACTTTT